ATATTGTTCAAGTTTTACCAAAAACCATACAAAACAAAGTTTCAAACTTTATATAAAATTTGTGAAAATTGTACAAATTTTCAAACCTTTTTAATTTGAATCCCTATAACATTTCTGGGTATGGAGCTTTATAGCCAATACAATTTTTATCTAATGAACTGCAAAGATTAAACCTGGTAAAAATCGCGTTGTTTTAAAAAAAATTTTTTTTTATTTTATATTATGAAATAAAATTCGACAGACCGTTCACAATAAAATTTCAAAAAACCGACGCCAGTTTTTTATTGTTATATAAACGAAACAGCAAAAGCCTTCACATAAAAATTATTAAAAATCAATACGATTTTTTAATCGATAGAAACTTGCAAATTATTATTGGGCTATAAAATCCATACCCAAAAAAATTCGAAAAAATTTCTATTTTAAATTTAGTATAAAAATCCAGTAAACTGATTTCTAAAATAGAATTTCTAAAATAGTTACAGTTTTTTTTAATAAAAAATACTATTTTAAAGAAGTTTCACCTGATTAAAATGCTTCAATTTTGTTGAATTCAAGTTTTAGGTTCTTTTAATAATGGGGGAAATGTCAAAAGACGAGAATTTCAAAAGCAAGAAACGAAGCTTGAAAGGACTTAACGGTGTGTACTCTTTCCTTTCCTTCTTACACCTTCTCTTCCACATGCAATCAAGTTTTTATAGGCTGCTGGAAAAAATTATTCATTCTTGAAGTAAGTTTAACCTAAGTGTTAATAAAAAAAATTCCATATAATATCTTATTTTCTGGCCAATTTTGTGTGTTTATATGTTTATGTGTTTATATGTTAACAAATATACGTATATGAAAGTAAGTGTATATATTTGCTGCGTGATAAATTCAAATATTGAGACTTTATTAACTACATGTTCAATGTAACTTTTGTTCCTAATTGTTTTTGTTTGTATCTTCTTTTGTTTGTTAATTTAAAATAAAGATTGGCCCCTGAGGATGCTAAGGAGTTTAGCGAAACGTAGGGCAAAGCAGTGAAGAAAAAACGTTGTTTTTACTTGCACTAATCACCAACTAGGCCAAAGAAGCTCATCAAAATTAATAAAAAAAAAATTCCATTTAGCTATCATTCAATCCACATTCGTCCTGTCCACTTCTACATAGTCAATAAGTTCTTAGTTTTTGCAAACAGCATAAATTATGTCGACATAAAATTGTTGGCTTCTCTACATATTTTACGAGTACAAAATAACTAAGCACTAAAAAAAAAGAAAAGCAGACGCACACGCGCCAGAATTGCAACTATCAAATAGGCAAGTATATACATAAATTAGGGTGCCGCACAAAAAAAAAATAGTTTAAATTTTCCTACCGGAATTATAAAGTCTATTATATTTCAAGACCTCCGCCAAAATATTTCGAAAAAATATTAAGATTTACGTGAACTGGGTCGCTTTGAAAATATATTGAAAACACTTTCAAAAATCACATTATTTTCACTTCGCTGACAATTTTTTTTAAAGATTTTTATACTGACCTTTTAAGCATAAAGTCTTCTATGATCTGAGGTGAAAACTTTTTTTTAAAAACTAATTAAAAAATCACGTAAATCTTAACATTAATTTATCATAAAGTATAATAAACTTTGTATGTAGTTCCGGTGGGAAAATAGTAGACACTGATTTTTTTTTATAGAAAGTGATGCACCCTAATGTGTGTGTGTTAAGAATGAAAAAAAAAGTATATAATAACAATAATAAGCAAGGCGTGGGTGATAATTAATTAGTGATAATCATATCAAAATAAAATGTAGCAGAAAAGAAAAGGTAAAAAGTAAAAGAAAAGTCAAGCAGTGCAAGAAATTAATTGTGCCGCAATAAATTACATAAAAAATCAAAATGGAAAAAATTAAAACAAAGTAAAATACATATTTTTCTTTTTGCTGACCAATATTTCGTTCAAATTTTTTTCTATAGCAAACATGTAGATATACTAGAAGCGCTTATAATGCGCTCTTGTGGGTGTAAATATAAACAAAATTTTACGCTATCAACACCCCCCAGATGCAATGAAGGTAGAGCAGCGGCAAATGTAAGAAAAAGCAGAAAAAGTGAATGCGCTGCCAAAAACACGTCCACTACTTGGCATATACGCCGTAGGCGGATATCGAGTCTAGTGGGAGAAGATAACAGAAAATTATATATGTATATGTACATACATATCTGTAAATAGACGCTACTGGTATGTGAAAATCGGACCGGGTAGTTGATTTTGGGAAGCAATATTGTTAAAGTGCCACGCTTATGGCAAACAAGACTTAGCTAGAGAACGACTTAGCTCAAGATTTCATAATTTAAAAGCACTTTAATCTTTTGTTTATGTGTACATATGTAGAATATGCGATAACACAATTTCGTTCTACGTTCGGCTCGGTTGACTATTGAAAAGCAGATCCTTCTCTCGACGAACAAAAGTCCTGCTCTGAAAATCCTGCTGTCATTTGATGTATGTGGCGCCGAAATGTGGACGATGATGCTCCGATGAAAATATACTTCAATTCGGCGCCTTAGTGTGGACAATGAAAGACAGGGCGCCCACGAATACAATGGTAATATAAAGTGCACTTGGTGCGAACAACAGGTGGAACTTTGCAAAATACAGTGGAAAGTGGCGAAGTTTCTTGGCCTCAGCTCTAACAAAGGACAACCATTTAAAACGGTGGTGGCCATCGGACTGCCCGCGGGCAAAGCTTTTTTAAGCTTTGTACATATACAATAGAAAGCTTGAAAGAACTTTGCCAGCAGGCAAGCTGATGCCCACTACCGATTTAAAACAATCGCCAAATAATAAGAAGTTAAAAAAACACTTGGATTGTAGGAACTTAGTTAGAACGGTCGTTTGTGAATCGATTTCTTTGAGTATTGACATGTTTGCTACTAACAGCTAGTAGTAAATTAGAACGATGAATAATTAGTGGCGTGCTCAACCACATGATAAGGCACGGGTTAGAATCTAAATTTTAATTCTGTCAGCATTTGCAGCCTCTTAATGTTACAAGAAGTCTGTTTGAATTCATTAAAAAATTTATATATCTTCTGAACTTCATATGACAAGTAAATGTTTCATATAGGCGCCATAGACGGTTCGTCTGACTCGCGAGTCATTTGTGGACGTGTTGACTCGCCTTTCGACTACACACAGCTGAATCATTCATGAGTCAGACGCCCCTTGTATGCCGCCTATTAGAACTGTGTGTGAGGGCGAATGCATAGAACGTCAGGCTTTTTGATACAACCCCGTAGTTGTGAGCATATGTCATAAGTGACTTTTGTGCAGAAGTTCTTTAAAAGCTAGACATTTTTGGGACAAGAGTCGATTTAAAATACTCAAGGTTCATTTGAAAGTTAAAGGTTCTTGTCCCTGCTTTTTATTCGCTGTGGCTGCAAATACTTTACATACTTAGAGGCAAAAAGCGTGACCTAGATGGAGGTACACCGAAGGAGCTTAAGTTAATGAGAAATATGGAACGCCACCCTGCAGCAATGCGATTAGTGGTGCCAGGGTGGCCGAAGGTTACAATTCGGGGAGAGTATTTTAGTCTCCGGACATACCATTGTTCTGACGACAGCTTTGATGATGCAATAGGCATCTGCCCGCGAAAAAAAATGACCTGGACTGCCGATTTGGTTTTAACGGTCACAAAAACATTATTATTATTATTAATAAGGGCCATAAACAACACCGCGACCTCTAGCGTGTTCCAAAATTTCGAATGTATTGAGTGTAGCATCACCTATGTAAGTGAGCTAATCTGCGCCAAAGCGAGTGCGTCAGATTCACAGAGAATATGTTCTGGCATTTCTTCGCCCAGCTCGTAAAACGCAACTGAGGTATGTTACCGAAAGATTGTCGTGTGTCGTGTAGTTACTTAGTACGCAGTGAGAGTTTTTTGGACCACTCTGCCTAAGCTAAGTAGTTTCTTTGTAGCTTCATTTGAAGTGCAGATATGTAAATGATTTGGCTTGCCTCTGCGCCGAACATTCTATCCAATGCCGGTTGAACAATTTGTTTATTCGGTTATTAATGATCACCTTTAGGTAGGCTTTGGTGAGCTAGATAGCTGGGCCTCCTATTTACCATCATGTTCCTCATTCCCCGGTACCCATCTTAGTAGAACTATGTTTTTGGATTCGAGGGTGTTTAGGACACTGATGCATTCATATGCTAGCTTGGAGGTTATTATGTGGGTCCTAAGTGCCAGTACGGCTGCCTGACTGTTCGACGTAATGAAGATATATTTCGAAGATGTGCCGCAAATTTTTATTACATGAAACTTCGCTTGAAATATGGTGGGCTACCCATTGGTACTGACTTTTTTAACTTCAATCCAAATATGCCAGCCACAGAGTTTTGCGATTTTCGAGCTTAGAACTATTTGTATATCAAGCCCCTTCATTTTATGTTTGGTGTTTGGGTGCCCTGCATTGTAGAGAGCTCCATATGCAGTAAGTAGCTCAAATTTTCTACTTTTAGAACCATTACATGGCGCATTTAAAATTTGGGCTCCTTGACGGATTTCATTAGGACCTTCATTTGATCCACCATATTTTCCGATTTGATGTCGGAGGTGTTTAGAATTCTTTGTGCTGCAGTGGGGGAGGTATTCTAACTAAGACTCTGAGTGCATCAGCCGGGTAAATCTTCAGCGCTCCTGTTATGTCAATGAAAACTATTCTGTGCTATTTACTTAGTTTAATGCTTGCGTGGCTTTGTGTAACATTAGTCTACCATACTAATCAAAACATAGAGACACCATAATCCCATAATCTCTGGCCATTACTAAACAAACTGCCTATGTATATATGTATGTATGTGCGCTTCGAGGTTCAGACTCATACGATTCATGAAAAAATAAACTAGCTGTTGGTACTAAGTTACTAAGCCTAAGTTTAACCTTTTCTTTAATATCGTTTTTTTTTTTAGACAAATCTTTCGAAAATCAAAAACTGTTTTTTTTCTAAATTTGCCATCGCATACTTTTTACTTGATTTTTAGCTCTTCATTAGCATTTGCGAGTAACGATTTCTTTATTCATTTGTGTTGGTTTTTAATTTGTTTAAATTTGCCCGAAATTCTTTAACTTTTATCTTTGTTTTTTGTATTAGCGCAAAGGTGAAGGTTAAATTTATTGTTTGTTTTATTGTATTATTCGTTGTAATTAAGCTTTTTGTGCACTTGAATTTTTGGCAAAAAAAAAACACGCTGCGTACTACAGTTCAATGTACCTAAACTCTAAAGCCATTAGTAAGACAAATATTCAGATAAGAGATTTGCTGGGCACTATTTTCTTGGTGATTGCCTTGCATTGGTGGGATAGAATTTTGTACTCTATAGGCGAATTAGAAAATTTTAAAATTTTCTACGAAACACAAATAATTGCTCAGGTGTACATATAAAATTTTTTTTTTTTAATATTTTTAAAATATACCGTGTCATTGGTTAAGTTTAGTTAGAATTTTACACTTTCGCATCTTTTTCACTGACATTTTTGTAACTATTTAGTACTCGTTTGCTTTATTTCTTAACTTTGCCCACTTATTACTTTTTCATTGAAATATTTTTATATGAAATTTCACTCCTTTTACACACTGTCAACGTATAAAACCCTCCATAATCCTTTTCTTTGCTTTCACACTCGCACTTTTTTCGCTACGTTACGGTTGCTGCTTTACATTTGCCGAAATAAATTTTGTTCTAAACGTGTCGAAATTTTATCACAGACTGGCCAATAGATCGCAGAGCTTGTTGTTGTGAGCGAATTTTCATGATCATCCTATATGTTGTATTTCTATTTCATTTTCCTCAATCATCTCTCACCACCACCACTGCCGCCCACTTAACGGTTGTGGGAAAATCTTATATGCCGATTTTTCATGCATAAAACTACTATAGGCAACAAAAACAATTTAGACTTGTTGAGAAGGAAAGCATTAAGCAACTGATCATCGAAATTAGAGGGTCAGCATGCCATTTAAAAGACTCAAAAGTATGCGAGCATGAAATGAGAAATGAATGTATTTTAAAATTTTCTCACGAAAAATAGTACACAACAACCGAAGAGGTAATAGAGAAAAACCAATGACATTATTTTTGAACTCATTCATGTAGCGTACAGCTAAGGAAATAGAAGATAGAACAAGTTTTCGAACTGTTACAATTTGAATATTTTTGTTTTTGAACAATCAAACTGCGAGCAAAT